AAATGTAAGAACTATGTAGAATTTTTTTAAAAGTCCAAAGGCTCTGCTCTTTTAAAACATACTTTTTAATGATTTCCTAAATCTTTTTTTTGAGTGGGGGGATCAATAATCTAGTTCCAAATAAAAATGTAAAGGGGTCTATACAGTTAAGAATGTGAATTTGCTAGTGATCTTCCACTGAAGTTTCTAATTTTAAGAGATTAAGTTACATTAAAACTATTTAAGTATGGGTGAAACTGTGCAAGAGACAGTAAACATTCTTACAGTAGTCTCCATTATTATCAACAGAATATATATATTTATCATTGCTTTATATTGATCAGCAGCTTACAAGCTTAGAACAGGCAGTGAGCATCAGAGGGCATTCTATAAGGGTATCAAAGAACTAATAGGAGATTCCCCCCCCACCCCCAAAAAAACTGCTACCAACAAGTAAATAATTATACTATCAAAGCTAACATTTAGTGAGCATTTACTGGGTTTAGGACCCTGTGTTTAGGAACTTTCCCAAAATATCTCTCTTTAAAACTTCCTGTTATTATTTCTATCTCCCAGAAGAGGAAACATAAATTCAAAGAAATTAAGTGGATTGTTTGAGGTCTCTTAGCAAGTAAGAGGCAGAACCCAGATTAAACCAGGTCAGTTAGACTTCATCCATAAGGTGCTTAGGCTTTGGATGGAGCAGGAATGACTTGAGTGGAGTCTAGAAAAGTGAGTAGGACTTTTACAGGATATGCTCTTATATGTGCTCTTCAAAGAAAACAGAAAATTCGATCATCAGTGATCTGCATCGCATTCAGGGCATAAAATTTTTTAGTGAGTATTATTTGCATACGGGGCAGAGCAATTTTTGTTTTGTGGGAAAGGCCCACTGTTTGCAAGACACTTAGCTACCAAGGCCCCAACTCATTCAGTGATAATAAGGCTCCGGAGTTAGTATGGGCAACAAAAAACCTACAGAAATCTTCTAGGGGGAAGTATTATGCCTGTTTCAGAGTTTTTGTATCAACTGATACAAAGTCAGCTCTTTTTTTTTTTTTTTTGGCCAGGACAGTTTCAATACGGCGGGGGTGTGGTGGGGGATGGAAGCTGCTGCTATGGAAACACACACACACACACACACACACACACACACAATGGAGTGGGGCCAAGAAGGCACCTTGGAGAACCAAAATACACAGAAACTCCTCGGAGCTTCTTCTATGTAGTGCTGATCTCCTCATGCTCACAGGGCTAGCAATGGGTGCAATGCTATTACTTAAAGTTCAGAACAAATGGACACACCTGGTTCTTCCTGGGACCACAGTGGACCGAGGGAAATCCCCTTCTCTCTTGAAAGCAGGAAAAGAATTCTGGAGGGTTGGTAAGCATCTGGTGAAGCAGTGAGAGCAATGAAATCTCATTCCATTGTGAGAAAGGAAAACTGGAATCACTCGATGATACTGCAGAAAGGCCTTCTTCGTGAGTCACCTCCCAGGAACTGATTCTTTACTTCTGGAAGCTCTGGACTCATTCTAGCACCTCAGCGTTGGGGGCAAAATGACAATATTGCCAGAAGTTCCTCCAGGCTTTGAAAGTGAGGTTGTCCATAGTTCACTTGCCAGTAGCAGCTTATCCCTCACTTTCCCCAACCCAGTTACACTGTCCAGTATTTAAAAAAAAAAAAAAAAGAAGAAAACTTGAGAGCAGAGAGGACTGAATGCAGATTCTCTTTGCAGAGACTCAGAAGAGTCTCCCAATTCATTCCCAAGATCATGGCAATAAATGGATAAAAATGACAAGAGTCCCTACTTTTCTTAATAGAAACATTGTGCAGTTCTCATTTTTACAAGAGTGTCTTGTCTCCTGTTCTCTCAGGGTTTGCAGCCTTTTCCACCATGCCTGAAGTGGCACAGAGAATCAAAATGAATTTTGCCTTGAGTCCTGTGGCCTCATTCAAATACCCCAAGGGTATTTTTACCAGTTTTTTTCTACTTCCAAGTTCTGTAATCAAGGTAGGCTCCCCATTTCACCAAAATGTATTTGAGGGTCTCATTTGGGATTATAGATACTCATTATTTTAAAGTCTGTGATGAAGTAAAAGTAGGAAGTTTAGATGAAATCTGTGGAAACCAGAATCTGCAACCAGGTGCTTATTTGTGTGTGTGTCCGTGTGTGTGCGAGTCTGTACCACACTATCTACAGCTGTCATATACAAGTTACTACACTCAATCATTAACAGACTTGACTATATGTCAGAACTGCTAGCTGTGCTGAGTGCTATGTCAGCTTAAAGTCCATTCATGTTTTCTTGTTCCATTCTTGTTCCACTGGGCTGGTCAATGAACTTGCAATGTCCAAATGGAAGACAGTTTTCTAGTTTCGTATGGTCACTGATATCCTGACTTTGATGTTAAACATGAATAAAATAATCCTTCCCATATGGCAACTTGTTGTAATTTACTAAAACTATGATTATAAAGCCTAATTGTCTTACAACTCAGTTATTTCTTTGAATATTTATTGGTTATTTTCCAAGGATTGGAAAAGCAGTTTGATTGCTAATTGTGGTTTTGGAATTTTATCAATTTAAATTATTTTTCTATTTGCCTTTTGTTTCTTTAAAAAGGTCATTGGCACAATGAACATAGTATTTTACCAAGATTGCACCTTAAATTTGGGGTGAAGGATAAAATCAATTTTGGCCAAAGTGAGGTCAAGACCAATTAGGGTATCACAGTAATTCATATATAAGAGGAGGCCCTGGTTTATGGTGGAGAAATAGATATGGAAAACCATTGTTTTTTGAGCTAAGACAAGGAAGAATTTCCATAGGGCCTAATGATTGGTTTGGTAATAGTTTGATTGTATTATCTACTTGAGCTCAAGTAATGTAACTTCCCTTTTGTGTGGTTGATAGTTCTACTGCAAAGTGTATTGATATCAGTGTTGGATGTTTCCTATATTTGAACAGATTGAGCAGACAAATTAGTTAAAATCAGAGAGACACCTCTATCACCAGTTTTACATATATATTGCTTTGCCTACAAAGATGGGGTCTGAGGCAAATATTGTCCCTGGCTTATCTGTTTCATATCCCCTACTGTCAAGGTTCCTGCCACTGTAAGTCGCATTCCCTGACCTCGCCTGGCACTTGATAATATCTGTTGCCCAGAGAAGCTCCAGTCCTCTCATCAGAGATTCCCCACCCAATCTTACTTCCCCAAGATCTAACATGCCACCTCCCTTTCTGTCCAGTGGCACCCTCTCTTTGGTACACCATTCTCTACTTTTCAGCATAAGCGCTAGCTAATCTGGGACACTCCTAGAAAAACAATGTGCACATGGGTAATAGGGAAAATCCTACTTTTCCTTCTTATTCAAGGCAATATTTAACCTTAAGGAGAAATATTCTGCCTTTCTTGCCAATGATATTAAAGATGAAGTCAATTACTGATTTCCAGACTACAATGACAGAATACAGAGAAGCTTCACCATGAAGAAGCGAATTTGGGGTTGAGGGTGCTCACTGCAATCTCCTTATAAATTATGTCTGGTGATCTTCCCTGGGTGCAGATGGATTCATAAGTATCATAGTTCCTTTGCCTGAATGACTTGGTCTCCTTGACTGCAAGAGCAAATACAAATTGATCCTCAAGAATCCTTATTTCTGGGATGATGAGAATGTCAAAAAGTTTGAAACAATTCTTGAAAAAAATCATTTTTTTTTTTTACTTTTACAGAAATTTTTTGGTACCAAAGGTGTCTTTTTAGCAGATAAGTCAGAGAAGCCACCTTTTGCCACAATGTGCAACAATAAAATATTATTGGTGCTATGTCGTGAAGTAATGGACTTATGGGCAGGATTCATCAGGAACAATCTGAATATGGTATGTATAAGGATTATGGGACCATTGGATGTTTTGAGAAATTCCAGCTTTCCTTTGATTTAGTTTGATGTATCTATTACTCTGCATAAATTAATATGGTATTCTAAGCTCTTACATGCAGAGGTTTGCTTGCTATCCATAGATTAGGAATTCAATAGCCTATGAATGTGAAGACTGGGAAAAAGAATAAATAGGCAGCTTCAACCTTCCATCCCTGATTAAGTTTAGGAAAATGAATGTTCCACAATAGGTAGTAGTTTCACATGTTCATAATCAGCCATCACTTACTACCATGAGTTTGATCTTACAATTAATATAGTGCATTAAAAATAAAATCCTAGAATAAAACTGAGAGTCGTAGACACAGACAGACAACAGCATGATGGTTACCAGAGGGAAGGGGGAAGGAGGGACAGCAAAGGGGGTCAAATATATGGTGACAGAAGATGATTTGACTTTGGGTGGTGGGCACACAATGCAACATACAGGTCATGTATCATAGAAATGTACATTTGAAACCTATTTGACCCTATTACCCAATGTCACTTCAATAAATTTAATAAAATTTTTAAAAATAAAATAAAATTCTCAAAAAGAAGTGAAGCACATATAAGCATTGAACTTATTTTGTGTGTACCCTCACATGTTGGATGACTCTGGCCTCAAATAAAACTCATCAGTTAACTTAGAACTTAAAAGACAGAACAGAATGGAAAAGGAATCCCTTTTCTATGAAGAAGCAGCAGTCCTGTTTCATCAACTCTTTGTTTCCTGTTACTGAGAATTCAAGGAGGAGGAGGAGGAGTTGGCATCTGCAAAGGAGTGTGGTTGGATAGTTATCTCTGTCATATTCCAAATGGCAGCCAAATAAGACTAGTAAAGCTAGTCCCAAACGCTTGTCTATCAACCCACCCTACTCCTATTTGTTAAGAAGCTAAGCTGTGTTAGACCAAAAACCATGAGGATCAATTATTCAAAGCCTACTTATTCAAAAGTAAAGATTTTTAATAGTTCCCTAGATTAGTTTTATGATATTCTCAGATATAAAATTATGATTACTATTGTATCTCTACAATGTCATCTCTATAATGTTTACAAAGATCAAAGTACAGTGCACATAGAAATGATTGTTTATTAGCTTTTCTTTTATAATATTTTATTTTATCTTCACAAGAGCCCACCAAATTGGTAGCATGATCTTCATTATCTTCATTTAATAGATGACAACACAGAAACTCAGAGATGTTAAATAACTTGCCCAAAGTCACAAAGATTATAATTAACATTGTTAGATCCTGAAGTTTAGGTATTTTTGATCTACTGATCTGCAATAGTGTGTCTAGGCACACTTGCACATTGCACCTTTCCTCCATGATGTCCATTCTTGCTTCTTTTAATTCAAAGTAAACAAATTATAGTTTCAGAGCCGATTCAGGTTTGCTCTCAAGCAACCCATGCCACTGGTCAGCCCAGAGTTCACTCATATTCAAGGGTCTGACAAAAATTCAGACTTATCTAGATGATTCACATAGATATTTTCAAAACCCCCAGTATTTGTTTACTAAGTTTTAGCTGAATTGTTTTCTGTTTTTGAAAGGCATAGTTTATTTCTGTGGGTGATTCTTGCTATAACATGTGGTTTATTTCCCTTCAGAGTCGAATGGACGTGTACATGTCACACTCTCCCACCGGATCGTCAATACAGAACATCCTCCATATAAAGCAGGTAGTGACTTTGTCATGGAAAACCATTCTCATTCCTATTTTCATTATATGTGAAAGGACAGAGTTAACAGGCCTCTAAGAACTTTACCAGCTGGCTTCCATTTTGTCCTTGTCACATCTTAAATGGTCTGATTTCCCTGGGTTTTAAGAGAAATGACAAAATACGGTGCAGAACAAGTAGGTAACATAAATAATTCCCATCTTAAATCAGAGCTTGTAAGAGAGGCCCTGAGCTAAAGCAATAGGTAAGCTGGGAAAACCTCAGGAATCTGAGCCTTCCCCGGAGAGAGGAATGTGACTTCTCCCTAATGAGTTTTGGTTTTCCATTAGCTTATCCTACAAACCACGGGAGATCACTTCTCTCTCTCTCTCTCTCTCTCTCTCTCTCTCTCTCTTTTTCTTTTTTTTCTCTTTCTTTCTCTCTCTCTCTCTCTCTCTCTCTCTCTCCCTTGTTTTTCACAGTAAAAATGTATTTTCATCTTTTACTGTTTGGGAAGCCTTATTTTCTTTCTAGTGTACAGTGTTTTTCTAAGATTTGCTGTTAACATTAATGATTCTGAACATTATATTACTAAAAAAAAACACATTTATTTCAGCTTTACCGATCTGATGAATTCAGAGCTTATGACTGGGGAAGTGAAGCTGAGAACATGCGTCACTACAATCAGGTGAGTTATTCAGAATGCCTCCAGAAGGGTGGTTTTGAGACATTGTAAAAATAAGTTATTTGAGAGTGAGAAGAATCCTTCCAGGCAATTGGTGGTATTCACATGGATAGATAGAGCTTTTTGAAAATTTTGTGATTTTGATATGTATTCATTGTGAAAAATCTAGGGGGAAAAAGAAGCATATGCTAAGGAAATTAAATAATTTATAATCCCTCCACCCAGAGATAACTATATATATCAATATTTTGTTGCATTCATTCCAGTCTTCTCAGCATTACTGCTCTTACATAGCTTTTAGCATTTCTTTTAGTATTGTTATAGCAAGACATAACCAATGTTACTGAGGTGTTTTTTTTAACAAGATCTTAACGGCTGCATAATAGTGAAAATTGTTTTACAAAAATCTACACAAATTTACAGAGTAAATGAATACACATTTCTTGATACTAACACCAAGAATTTGGATACAACATGAACATTAAAAAAGTATTACCCACCATGAAGACTTGTCTTAAGGCATCTTCCTCCTTCTAACGTTACACATCCAAATCTATAGATTCCTTTGGCCCTCCTGTGCTTTAACCAATGTTGTTGCCATCATTTCTTTTCTCAAAGTCAGGAGCTGGGCTTCTATGTTTGAACTAAACCCATTAAATTGAAATTTTTCAATGTTTTCCAAGACTGACATATTTAAAGCTATTCTTAATGCAAACCCACATTAATTAGGCTGTTTCTGAGCATCAAAACAGTCGATCAGACCAGTTATTTCTCAATAATATATTGAATTGTTAGAGAAATGATTCTCCTAGCTTTTAAGACAACTATAAGAGCTCTGCATATTTTTATTATTTTTAACTGCTTGATTATGGAGTTGTTTACATACAATAAAATTCACTGATTTTACATGTGCAATTCAATGAACTTTGACAAATATATTCATTTGTGTAACCACAACATAATCAAGATACTATAGAGCATTTCCATTACCCAAAAACTTTTTTCCTACCACTCAAACTATGTATATTCACAAATGCTTAGAAAAGGGTCAGAAAAAAAAACCCCACCTAACAAATGTTAAAGTTATTATCCTCAGAGAGGGGAGGAAAGAAAGGGTGAAGTAAATGGACATGATGGAGTAAAGGAGGCTCTATTTTGGATTTTACATACTTCCTCTGTCATCCATTATTTTTATTAAGCAGGTTATATATTGTTTACTTTTTTAATATCTATTTTTATTAATTTCAGAGAGGAAGTGAGAGGGAGGGAGAGAGAAAAAAATATCAGTTATGAGAGAGAATCATTGATTGGCTGCCTCTTGCATGCACCCCACTGGGGATCAGGCCTACAACCGGAGCATGTGCCCTGATCAGGAATCTAACAATGACCTCCTGGTTTATAGGTTGATGCTCAACCACTAAGTCATGCCAGCTGGGTTATATTGTTTACTTTTAAAAGAAAATGGAACAAAATATATCACAGTTAAAACCATTATAATCAAGTTCTTTTTTTCAGCTTTATTAAGGTAAAATCAGCAAATGAAATTTTAAGATTGAAGTGTACAATGTGATAAGTATGTGATAGTGTACATGTCCTTAGAATTTATCCAGGCTGATCCTCTTTTATTTGTGTGTGATTTTAGATCATTTTGAAACAGGAATTTTAGGGGTAAATAAGACAGGTTTAGGAGATTTTAGAAATTTTGGAAACTAAGGGGACCATGGAGGAAGCACGGGGTTGCAGAGCAGCAGAAGGTATATTTCCATAGAATGAGGGAGCTTGGAACAGCAAAAGGTCTACATTTATAAAATAAAAAGAAGGAAGCCCTTCCTTCATCCAGAAGCAGAAGAAGAGAGCCCAGGGGGGAATAGGAAAACAATAAGGAAGGAGGGAGGGAGAACCTCACATGTCCAATGTGAGGCTCAACCTTTGAGCCCAGAGGTTAGTATAGTAACCAGTTTAAGGGAATAGTGGCCAATCAGAAGGGATATCAAGGCATCAGGATCTGCAGCCTTTATAAGCCATAGGGAAAAAGAACTCAGTGGGACCCTTTCCCCCTCCCTACTTGGGAGTCCATTCTGTGGGACTCTTTCCCTCTCCCCATGTGGGAGTCTGTACTTGTTCTTCAATAAATCTCCACCTTTGCTAAATCACTTTCTGTCTGTGGATTCAATCTTCAATTCCAGCAGAATCCAGGTTCCAGTCCAAAAATTCCATTTCAATTTGAAGTCAATTTTTATTACATTTTAATTTTTATCAGTTTGCCCTCTTCTTAAGCTTCCAGCACAATCTCTGTGCCTACTCTATATATTTTCGGGAATAAGAGGATTAACCCATGCAAGCTCCATGAGGATAGGGATTACCTTCTCTTTTGTTCACCAATGTTTTCTCACCTAGCAGAGTACCTGGCATTTACTGAGCCCTAGATATTTATTTGTTGCATGAATAAAATTTCTTAACCTCCCTCTTACCACCTGAAAATGTCTCTGTCCCCTTGATTCTAGCCTTCTTTTCTCTCTCAGAAAATGAAGATCCTCTTATTTTCCAAGTTTACCTACATGTGCCCTTGACCCTTATTTCTTTTCATCCCTTCTTTACTCTTACTCCTTTTATTCTCTTCAATGAGCTCCTGTACCTCATGAAAAACAAACAGTTACTATAGTTTCCTTGCAACTTACTCCCCTAACTTGGACTTTGTAACGCAGTGATCTCTGATTTTTTTCTTTCCCTTTTTGTTTGCTCTCTTTGTCCTCTACACTGGCTACTCTCTGTTTCCCATCACTGTCCAACTGTCAGCATTTCCCAAGATTCTTAACATCTCTACACTAGTATCTCTCTTCCTTGGAGAAGTTAGCCATCTCCATAACTTTAATTATCTCCTCCTGTGGACCATCCATATTGCTTGACTAGATTTTTTCAGGAACTATCCTTTCTTCAAGTCGTTTCACAAACTCATGTTCATACAGGCCTCTTAAGACAGAAATGAACCTGCTTTGAGAAAAGAACCTGCTTTGTCCCCAAAACTTCTGAAACATGTCCAAATACCCTAGCCTGGCATTTAGACCTTGACTGTCTGTCTCCAATCTTATATCCTACAATATTCTTTCAAATGTTTTCTTTTCTGGGTATATACTGGACAGCTTGCCATTCCTGACCATGGCATACAGGCTCTTCCTGCCTCCTAGGAAGCGCTCTGAGAAATGAACCTGCTTTGTCCCCAAAACTTCTGAAACATGTCCAAATACCCTAGCCTGGCATTTAGACCTTGACTGTCTGTCTCCAATCTTATATCCTACAATATTCTTTCAAATGTTTTCTTTTCTGGGTATATACTGGACAGCTTGCCATTCCTGACCATGGCATACAGGCTCTTCCTGCCTCCTAGGAAGCCCTCCCACCCTCCTTCCTATCTGTCAAATTCCAACCATCACTCAAGAGTCATCTCAAATGACTTCTTTGTATATGAAGCCTCCAACTGGAAATAACTTCTTTGTCTTCACTTTGATTGTCTTTACAGAGTGTTTTATAGCATTTAACATACCTTATTTTGCATACAAATGTGTGTTTGGTTATCTTGCCGGTGTCTTCAAACTCCTGAAGATAAGAAGCATTGCATGTTTCCTTCCTATTTCCCTCAGTGCCTGACTGAACAATTGACTTGGTAGATACTGACTTGGTAGCCTCTCTACTTATTTGAATTCAGTTGTTTCTGTGAGGAGCTTCCTCTCATGAATGTCCTTTCTTTCTCCCCCATAGAGTCGTCCCCCACTGTATAACTTGACTGCCATGACAGTGCCTACTGCTATTTGGGTTGGTGGAAATGATGTCCTTATAACAATCCAGGATGTGGCCAGGATACTCCCCCAAATCAGGAATCTCCGTTACTTCCAGCTATTGCCAGATTGGAACCACGTTGATTTCATCTGGGGCCTTGATGCTCCTCAACGGATGTACAGTAAAATCCTAGATTTGATGAAGACATATTCCTAACTACAATACATCCACTTTTCCATTAAAGCTTGCTCTCAATGCCAGGAGGCTTTGGGAAAAAGAATAATCAGCAGTGAGGTCTACTCCAGCATCCTCCACCTTGTTGATATTGCTGAATGTTCCCTTGTCAAGGATTCTCAAGGAGAACATCCCCCAATCAATGGTATCCCACAGATTTTCCACTGGTGATTTGCATTCTTCATGAACAAGGAGGAAGATCTTTCTCCCTGTCTTGCTGATTCACCCACCTACAGAACCAAACAAGAGACAGAAAGGAAAATTCCTCAAGGCAAGCCTCATGTAGTGCTAAGCATGGAGCAGAATTATCCCTAAACATCCCCATTCTTGCCTAATTGTAAGTAGGTTGGTGTTCTCCCAAACTAGTCATTCACCTGTGCCATACCTGCATGCCACCTATGATACTGCTTTTACAAGTCTCAGACTCAATTTGCTTATTTATATTTTAAAAAACCTTTTTGGAGCTACTATAAATGGGAGGAAAAGGTATTATTTACCCCAACTTGAAGATAAACATAAACTGTAACAATGAAAAGCAAATAATTGATAATAAAATTTCTAGATGCCATGACTAGTCAAGGCCCCTGAGTTTTAGAACTGCCTTCTTTTTGGTAAACGTGCCCTCTTGATTTGAAAGGGAGATTGGCAAGTGCTAGAAACAAAGACATAAACCAGAGTTTGGCTTTCTCCTTGCGCTCAGAAGATTGAAAGAAATTTGACAGTGAGTCTTTGGTAGGATGTATCATGGCCCCCAAAGATGTCCATGTCCTAATTCAAGAAACTAACCCTACCCCTTATATGACAAAAGAGATGTTGCAGATGTGACAAAGTTAAGGTAGTTAAGAAACTTGAGGTGAGAAGTTTATCCTGGGTTATCTGAGTAGGATCAAAGTACTTACAGGGGTCCCCATAAGAGGGAGGCAGGAAAGTCAAAGTCAGAAAATATGACAGTGAAACAACAAGAAGCTGGAGTGATGCACTGAGTCAAGGAATTCTGGCCGCCTCTGGAATCTGGAAAAGGGAAGGAAACAGATTCTCCCAGAAGTTTCCATAAGGAATGCAGCCCTACACCTTGATCTTAGATTTCTGATCTTCAGAACTGTAAGAGAATAAACTTACATGATTTTTAAGCCACTAAGTTTCTGGTAATTTGTTACAGCAGCCACAGCAAACTGATACAGGGACTAACTCTCATACTATGTGATTCAATGCTATTTAATACCATACTTGTGTATTGGCTAAAATATATCATAGCCCCTGTGGTACATAGCCTACACTTGGGGAAACACTGCCAACAAACTCACAAGGTCATCATGGAAAATGGTATTCCATAGACTAACGCAACTGCAGAAGGATTTAGGCCTGAGGCAGTGAAGCTGGTTGCTAAGATGATGGTTGATTATAGGGGAAGCTCTGTGTGGTCAGTGTCCTGCTTCCTCCTCTACCTTGACTCCCTTTATACTGTGGCATCCGAGCTAAGACACCATTCCTGAATCAGCCCTCCTTCCTCAAATGGACTCTGTGCTGAGGTAAGTCATAGCTATGGTTCTTTCTGCTCTTAAATTCCAGTGCCTTTCCTTTAAATTAAAATAGGCTTGGGAATATTTTCTTACATTAAAAAAGATTTATTTTATTTTTGTTCCATTTAGAAAATAGAGAAACTAACAAAGAAAATGATGAGCAATATCATCACCACTAAAAGAAAACTACTTGGTTAATATTTTAATAGATTTCTCTCTGGTCCATTTCTGTTTATGTCCGTTTATAACTTTAAAATATTCAATAAACGCTATTTAGTAACCTTCATTTTCCCCATTAAAATATATTAGGAATACTGCTGCATTACCTACAACAAATGTCTACAATATATTTATAAGGAGTGAATAGTGCTCTGTTGTAAGAATGAACTAGAATTTATCAAACCACTTCATTCACATGGTTGTTCATGTCATTTTCAATTTTTCACTCTGGTCCTTTTGTTCACCACGGATGGCTCCTAGGAATAAGTTTCTGAATTTATATTTATTTTTTATACATATTGCCAAATTTTCCATCAGAAAGTTTACATTGAAAAAAAAAAGGCCATTTTAAAAATATATATTTTATTGATTTTTTACGGAGAGGGATAGAGAGTTAGAAACATCAATGAGAGAGAAACATCGATCAGCTGCCTCCTGCACACCCCCTACTGGGGATGTGCCCGCAACCAAGGTACATGCCCTTGACCGGAATCGAACCTGGGACCCTTCAGTCCTCAGGCCGACACTCCATCCACTTGAGCCAACCCAGTTAGGGCTGAAAAAAAAAAAGGACATTTTTAAAGATAATTAATTGCAACTTGAGTGAATAAAAAATGAGAGAAATAAGTGATAACCTTTTTTGGAAAAAAGCGAGAAGAATCTTTTTATTTCATATTTCATGTGATAAGCAAGAGAATATGCCTGCCTTCCCCTTGACTTGCTCATCTGTTGGAGAAAGAAGAGGCATAAAGAGATGGTCTGGAATCAGATTAACTTCTTAAAGGGGGGAAAAAGTAAGGAAATTTTTTTCTGAGGGGTATTTAGATGAATGTATCAACTCTTGTGGTGTCAACCTTTTCAGGCTGCAGAAAGCTGTAGCAAGTGAACATTCCTCATTATGGCCAAGTGTGAAAGGTCTGTTTCAGACTTTGCCTACTTCAGTAAAAGTCTCATGGTACACACTCGGTCAACGATAGATTTGATGGTTTAATCAATAAAGACCATCACATTGTGTAACCTAAGAACATTTCTGCTTTGGTTGTCTACACAGCTTGTTAGACAGAAAACTCCAAATAACTCACTTGCTAAGTGTTGTCATGGAAAAACCCACGACAGCCAGAGTGGCTGACTGAGCATTGGGCTAGGCAGCTTTGACTAAACCTCACCTGAAAATTGGTAACTCCTAACAAGTGTAATCTGTTGCCAGAATCGCCTGCATACCTTACGAGTCTAACTGAATTATGAGGTAGAACATTTCCAGGGAATTCGCTTTATTTTCAGCCTTCTCCACTTCCAGCTTACAAACTGATGATAGCCCTAATAATCAGCATGATGACAATACAGCAACAACATATTAAGTAGCTTCTGGGTGCCAGGCACGATGCTGTGCACCTCACACATATATTAGATTCACAACAATGTTGCCAGGAAGGTGTTGTTTATTAATAATAATAACAACATATAGGTAAGAAAAGGAAAAATCAGAAAAGTATCCAAGACCCCACAGCTGGTGGGGAAGCATAGTTGGGATTTGAGCCCAGGTCTGTCAGATTCCACTGTTCCCTATTGCCCCTTGTAGGTGGACTTGATGCTAGGTGTCACCTGTGACTTGAAGCTTCGTGGTATTTCCAGACTCCATAACTAAACCGGTACATCCTCATGCTTGCCCCTTTAATTGCCCCAGGATAATTTTTAACAAACAATGACAGCTAGAGTCTTTTATGATCCTGAATAATTCCAGCTTTTATTAGTTAATATTACAGATTTGAAAGAATAGGGGGGAAAGTTTTCCTTCTATGTCTTTAAGGACATTGTTTATAAAGTTTCTGGATTTTTGTTGTTTTGATCTATTTTATTTGGTGTGTGTTAATATGAGTAATAATAGGCTGCATGTTCCCTATTGGAAAGATATACCAAGCTTATTGCAGACAATTGAATAAACAGTTCAGGGCAGAAAGCCTTGAAGAGGATCTTCTAGAAATAATCTATACTAATAAAAGGGTAATATGCTAATTAGACCAGACATATTCCAGACGACCTTCTGGACATCCTTCCTGACAAAGCCGGGCCCAGGCGCCTGCGGCCAGCACAGGAGAAGCCACCTGCGGTCCTGGGCACCTGCAGCCGGCCAGAGGAGAGAAGCCTGGGTCCTGGGTGCGGGGCCAAGGCAGAGGCGGTTAGGGGCGATCAGACAGGCAGGCAGAGGGGTTAGGGGCAATCAGGCAGGCAGGCAGGCGAGCAGTTAGGAGCCAGTAGTCCCTGATTGTGAGAGGGATGTACAACTGCCTATGTCCCTTCCACAGAGATCGGGCCTAAACCGCCAGTCAGACATCCCCCAAGGGGTCCCGGATTGGAGAGGGTGCAGGCTGGGCTGAGGGACCCCCCCTCCTCCATGCACAAATTTTGTGCACTGGGCCTCTAGTATGTCATATGTCAATATTAATGACAGCACTAGGTAGGTACCTGCTGCTATGTTCTGGAAATAAAGAGAATCCCAAAAACAAGAATGCATAGGAAGGGGAATCAAATTCTGAATACAGAGACACTTGCAATTTAATTCTTTTAGAGGGGGACAGTGGTTATTGCTAAGATGTCCCCTGAATACCAATGAGGTGATAGAAAGGCCTCCCTCTTGAGTCTACATTTTCTTTCCATTCCACACTGCCCCTGTTTGCCTTAGCCCCCATCATGCTGAAACTGATCTTAAACATTTGGGCAAGTTGTTTCTTTCTTCTAGGTCTGTTTTT